CCCTTAAAGGGACAATTCACCCAAAAATGATAATTCGGTCATCATTCACTGTTCCTATATGAGTTTCTTTCTTCTGAACACAAAAGAATGAAGAACATTTGATGAGTGTTGGTAACCAAACTGTCAATGGTAGCCAGTGACTTAGTAGTTTCTTTGCATACTATGGAAGTCAGTAGCTACCGTTAACTGTTTGGTTACCAATGTTCTTCAAAATACCTTCTTTTGAAACACATACAGGTTTGGGTCTACATGAGGGTGAGTAAATGATGACAGAATTTTCATTTTGAGGTGAACTGTCCTATTAAACTACAGTAAACACACTCTCTCACACACACACACACACACACACACAATTTTGACATGAACTGAGAATATAATATCCAGTATAAGGTTATTTCTGAATGTTCTCTGAATATCCAGTTTTTTAAAGGTTTTAAAAATGTTTCTTTTTGGTTATGCAAATGTTGAGGGAACATTCCATTTGATCATTTTGAAACACTATGGGAACGTTACTTTTGAATGTTCTCTGAATGTTCTTAAACAAGCAGTAACATTTAAAAAACATTAGACGAACGTCCAAATAAAAGTTTCAGAAAGAACATTCCATACTTGATGTAGCCTATAAATAATGTTTTTGTGCTAATGCTTTGAGAACATTATTAAACACCAGATGACTCGGAACAAACAATTACTGGAAGAACATTTGTTCATAACTTCTGTTAGCCAGATGTAAATGTTCTAATACATTTCCTCTCATCATTTGAGCTCCACCGTCTCTGCAAACACATTTCTGATTGATGCTGACTCCTTATGAAATGTTGTGAATGCGTTAATTCACTGACTGTAAATGTTTCAAAATATTTATGGCACTAAAATATACACTGATGCTCTGTTCCCATCAACATTTTGTCCTTTAGAATAAAAGATTCCACACACATTTCAGTCTATGAGTGTCCTCTAGTGGACGAGAAGTATATTTATTTACATATTTGCTTGATGAGTGAATATAATGTGACGAATTATAGCAAACTAAAAATGTAAAAATAAGTATTTTTCGGTGTGCATTTTAAACGAATAACCAGGCCGACTTAACGTATAAATATTGGCGAATCTTCGTTTGTTAAAAAGTCAATTACTTCTTTAAACCACAATGAAAAAAATGCTAATTAGATAACATCTCAATTAAATGGCTTTATTCCGGTCAAAATTGTGACCCTGCAGCACAAAAGCAGTCTTAAGTCGCTGGGGTATATTTGTAGCAATAACCAACAATACATTGTATGGGTCAAAATTATACATTTTTCTTTTATGCCAAAAATCATTAGGATATTAAGTAAAGATCATGTTCCATGAAGATATTTTGTACATTTCCTACTGTAAATATATCAAAACTGAATTTTTGATTAGTAATATGCATTGCTAAGAACTTAATTTGGACAACTTTAAAGATTATTTTGTCAATATTTAGATTTTTTTGCACCCTCAGATTCCAGATTTTCAAATAGTTGTATCTCAGCCAAATATTGTCCTATCCTAACAAACCATACATCAATGGAAAGCTTATTTATTCAGCTTTCAGATTTCAAGATTTCAGAATATTGACCCTTATGACTGGTTTTGTGCTCCAGAAGCCTGTTTGTGGTCCAATATCATTTAACACCTTTTTTCCCGAATTAACCCATAAATGAATGATTTAGTGTTTAGAAACTAATTAATCTACGGGTTAATTCAGAAAGAAATGTCTTTTTAAGGTAATAATCGCTGTTTTTAACAGTGCAGCTGAAACCGATCTAATTATGTCGCTTCTGTTCTCTTTTAGCTTAAATGTCTAGTTTTCTCTCCTCACAGAAGCGTTTGTGGTCGTTTAAAGCTGATATCTGCAGTGCAATGTCCCACAGTAAACACACACTGCCCTGCAGCACGCGCCTTCTGTTTCTATTCCGATCGTTTGTCGAATTGAGAATAGAGTTCATGACCTCGCGCGTCATGTTTGCGTTTGAGAGCAAATGTTCTGGAGTTGCTTCACACCTCTACATCTGATTAAATCAGACCATCTAGTAATCACCAACACTAAACTCACCTGAGATGGAAAACCACACTGCTGTCTTTCTAGCGCTGCTTCCCAGCTTTTAACTATTTGTTATTTCTTTGAACGGTCACATTTTTTAAAACGTTTTGGAAACGATTTTTCTTGGTTATGCAAATATTAAGGGAACGTTAAAATTTTTATTATCTTGCAAGCATTATGGAAATATTACTTTTTAATGTTCTCTGAAACAACGTTAGATGAACCTCCGACTAAAACATTTCAGGGGAAAAAAACGATGCATAAATAATGTTTTTGAGAACATCATCAAAAGAACGAACGTTCTTTTAAAGCAGCGCTATGTAACTTTTTCTGTGTTAAAAATTTGTTAAATGTATATAATGAGCGAGTACATCATGAATTCGTCTTCCAAACCGCGTTTTGTCTTATTCCGAATCACTCCGGTACACTTCTAATAAGTGCTTATATTCGGACTATTGTAGCCTGGTCACCGCTGCGGAGGAACACATACCTGCGTGAATCGCCAGAGACATAAACTTAGAGAAGTAGCTCCGGTTGGAATGTTCTTCCGCGGGATGTGTGCAGTTCTGTTGATTAACCGCTAGAGCGTCACATAGTGCTGCTTTAACTTCGTTTCCTGAATTAACTCTATACCAGAACGTTAGAATTTGTGTAATTTGCATCATTGATTCTGTTATTTTCCTGTTTATTATTATGAAGCTGCTTTTGAAACTTGTTTTTTTTTGCCATAAAAGATGTATTTCCTTACTAGTTAAATATTAAGACGCCCTGAAGTGAGAACATTTGTAAACAATACAATAAACGCACAAACTGTACTTATTTATTAATTATATTGAACACATAGCGCATAAATACCACGAACTGCCACTTTGCAAATATATCTTTCGCACTATATAAACAAACAAACAATATGAATTAAAAGTATTTTAGTATAAACACTCACACATGTAATGTTATAATGGAATTTATGTAAAATTATACGTACTAACTCCTCCCTGTTTATAAAACCATCACAGAAATTCCAATGGTTTCCACTACAAATACCATTACAAACTTTTAACCATTAAAAATTGTCTTCTGTAATGTGTTTTGGGACATATTCCATTAGGATTTAGTGGATTTAACAAGCCACCAATAGAAGGTGATCAATTAGCAGTAGAGAGCAATAGACACCATTACTTACACACATTTTCAAAACTTTGCCTCTTTTTTCATAACTTCACACACAAACCCAAGATTTGCACACAACATGCAAAAAGCCTCACATCTCTTGCAAAATGAAGCACTGTGTTCAAAATATCCCAAACACATCTCCAAAGCAAACATTTGCAAACACCTTTGCCATAATATTAATTCCTGTTAGATTTGTGTATACTATTCCCATTTTAACCAAATTCTGTGATTTTCTTCTTCAGCAGGGCTGTTCGTCCTCACTGGATTGAACAGAATTCATTTACATTTAATTTTTAAAATACATTTGTTATAGCCTATATTGAAGTTTCTGGAGTCCTATGGTGAATCGCAGCTTTTTGGCAACCTTTGCTTTAGTGAATGTCGGTGGAATATTATATATTTTACCTGCATGCAAAATAACTTGTCCTTGCAGATCAAAATAATGGGACTTTTATCAGTGCCGAGCATTTTAAAACGCCTCAGGTTTTACTGTTGTTTCACTCCGAGATTTGGTCAGATGTGTGAATTCGCCATGTGTTCGCGGGAGTGTGACCTCGCACCTGACGCACCTGACGCGACGCGTTTGGCACGAGTGGACACACAGGTGTATAAAGACTCCAGAGTCGAGTCTGAGCAGCATACCGATCGGAATCTACTCTTCAGCTTCGACACGATGGAGAAACTCACTTTCACGCACGGATTCAACTCTGAAACAAACGCGACGCGACCCTGGAGACCCTGGATCCACAAAAGCAGTCACGGACGCAAAACCAACGCTTATAAGGTGCGTTAAACTATTATTAGATAAACTATTGTTGTTCTGATATTAAATGATCTCTTTATTAAATCATCTCTTTATTCCACAGCCTTATGAGAGAGCATCAGCTGACCAACACTTGAAAGCCCCTGTGATCACACACCCTGTGAAGTAAGTCAACACAAACATGTTCTAAGAATGTTTCACTAACGTTCCCATTAGGTTATGAAAACGTTTTTCTGAACGTTCATGTTTAAAAAAAAAAACAAGTTTTAAAAACGTTTTTTTCTTGGCTATACGAACATTAAGGGAACATCACATTGTATCATTTTGAAACATTCTGGGAATGCTACTTTTGAATGCTCCCTGAAACATAGTAACATTTAAAGAACGCTATAGATGGACATTCCGTTTGATCATTTTGAAACGTTCTGGGAATGTTACTTTTGATGCAAGTAGTAACATTTAAAGAACGTTAGATGAACGTCCAACTTAATTGTATAAATGTTTCTGTGCTAACGTTTCAAGAACATTAATAAACAGCAGATAACCTCAAACGAACATTCTATTAATGCTACTAGAAAAACGTTTGCTCATAGAGAACATAGAGAGAACGTTTCCCGTTATGGTTGTGTTCTGTGTCATGTTGATCTGATCTCGAAAGCGCCGGAACTCACCGCTCATCTTGATTTCTGCAGGTTGTTCTGGCCCAAATCTCGCTGTTTCGATTATCTGTACCTGGATGCTGAGCTCCTCCTGCGCAGTTATCCGCTTCAGGCCACGATCTGCCTGTACGAGGACTCAGACAGCGATGATGATGAAGATGATGATGAAGAGCATGAGAAGGAACTCAACTGAAGACCTTCATCACTTTACTTATAGACTCTGAACTCTGATTCACTTTATTTAGTCAGTGCATGTAAATAGTTGTGAATATGTATAAAACTAGAAGTTTAAATGTAAATATATTTTATTTTTTAGTATTTATGATAAATTATTCTACATGCCAACTGTAACTTATTTCCTATGAATAAATATTTGAAATTTTGAAATTTTGGTTTTGCTCTTTCTTTGAATCACGAGGTTGTCGAAAAGAAGCAATGTCAGAAATCTTAATTTGAGTGTTAACAGAAAATGAAATGAAAAACAATATTATGAATGCGAGTCTGTGTACTGAAGCTGCATATTCAGCTAACCATAACATGTTCTGAGAACGTTTTGCTAACGTTCTCATTAAAACGTTATTTCTGAAGGTCAAAACATCCAGTTTTTAAAAAATGTTGCAAAAACATTTCTCTCGGTTATGCGAATGTTAAGGGAACGTTCCATTGTATCATTCTGCAAACATCACGGGAACGTTACTTTTGAACGTTCTCTGAAACATTTCTCTAGCAACATTTAAAAAAACGTTAGATGCACGTCCAAATGAAACACTTCAGGCAAAAGCGTTCCATGAGTAGTGTTTTTTTGCTCACATTTTGAGAACGTTATTAAAGAGCAGATGACGAATGTTCTTTTAATGTACGTTTATTCATATCTTTGACTAAACGTTTCTGTGTCTGTGGTTATAGTAGTCGGCCACATGACCAAATAAATGTTAAAAACAAATCTAAATGTTATTAATATGTTTTATTTGGAGTCTAATGGTTAATTTGTTCAGTTTTCTATCTTCTATAGAACTGAATGAAACTGAGGCTGAGAGAAATAAGACAATCACAACACTCAGAACTGTTTAATTTAGTTTTTCTTTACTCAGAAAGTTTATTGGACAAATGTTTCAGTGTGGAGGGTGTGTGTGTGTGTGTGTGTGTGTGACAGATGTAGGAAAGGACGTCCAGCCTAAAGAAGCTAAAGAACTAAAATATATCCTTGCACATCTAAATGTGTGTAGATAGCATGTAGATTCTTGACACAAATCTTTTGAATCTGGTCACCCAGAGATTCGATCAGGTGAGGCTTACATTGTTCACGGATTCATTCAGAAAAACGATGTTGCACCAGTGTTTTCCCTGTAAAAAACTCTGTTGAGAGAGAGAGAGAGAGAGAGAGAGAGAGAGTGTGTGTGTGTGTGTGTGTTTGACACCTGCTCAGGCGTCAGATGAATGTGTTAATGTCTGAACACAACACTGTTTTACCGCCGCTTTCGCAGACACACAGACTCCTCACACAAGTTTTTTTTCAACTGCTTACAAAATCTCTCCTCGTCACAGTTTCTGAAAGCTGTCACTCAAACAGCAGAAGCACACAATTTCATAAAACACTTTTTGCAAAACACAACACACAATTCTCTATGTAACACACAAAAATCTAACAGGAATTAATATTATGACAAAGGTGTTTGCAAATGTTTGCTTTTGTGATATTTTGAACGCAGTGCTTCATTTTGAAAGAGATGCGAGGCTTTTTGCATTTTGTGTGCAGTTCTTGGATTTGTGTGAAAAGTTTTGTAAAAAAGAGGCAAAGTTTTGAAAATGTGTGTAAGCAGCTGAAAAAACTGTTTAGCAAAAATATAATGCTGGGGCTTATGTAATATACGTTTGCATGTGTATATGCATTAACGTTCAAAAGTCTCTTATGCTCATTGTGGCTGATCAAAAATACAGTAAAAATTGTGAAATATTATTCTAATGTAAAACAGCTGTTTTCTATGTGAATATCTGTTAAACTGTAATGTATTTCTGTGATGCGCAGCTGTATTTTCAGCATCATTACTCCAGTCTTCAGTGTCACATGATCTTCAGAAATCAGTATAATATGCTGCTGCTCAAGAAACATTTCTGATTATTATCAGTGTTGAAAACATTAATATTTTTGTGGAAACCGTGATACATTTTATTTTTTAGGATTCACAGATGAACAGAAAGTTCAAAAGAACAGCATTAATTTGAAATAGAAATATTTTGTAACATTATAAACGTCTTTACTGCCACCTTTGATCAATTTAATGCAGCCTTGATGAGTAAAAGCGTTTATTTCTTTCTAAAAACGAATCTCACTGACCACAGAGTTTTGAACAGTAGTGAGTATAGCCTATATACAATTAAAGATTACATCAGCACTGTGATTCCTGCAGTTATTTGTGAATATTTATGATCGTGGGAAAGCAGAACGTGTGTGTGTTGAGGTGTTGTGTTGGGAATATGTTGGCGTGTGTGTTGTGTGTGAAGTGTGTGTGTGAGGGTGTTAATTACTGTGTTCATTAAGGATGTGTGTAGATTCACACTGTGAGTTTTGACCGGGTCATGCTGTGTTCTGCGGTCTAATATATAACACTTGATACAGTTTTAAGAACTAAGAAAGTTAAACATCAGATTTTCAAATGCTACTATTTAGGTTAAATTTATATTTAGTTTTATTTAATTTTTAGTTATTTATTAATGTTAGTAACTTATTTCAGCCAAGGCAACATTTCTAATTGTCCTTTAGCTTTTTATCTAATATTTATATTTTATTTTTAATTTAAGTTTTTCATCTAATATTTATATTTTATTTCATTTCAACTTTACTTAAAAAATGTTTTTAATAGTTTTAGTTTAATAAATAATAGCCATACCCTGTAAAAATATTTTTCCTAAGTTATAAACAAAGATTAAAGGAGTATGTTAGAAAATAGTAAGAAAATACTAATTCAGTCTTTCTACTCCACAATTTCACATTTAGTTCAATGTGTTGGTTGCTGTTTCTTTGTAATGAATTGTGCAATTTACTAGCAATTTCAAAGTGAAAATTGTTCCTACGCCAATGTTTTTTCCAGTTTATGATTCACTTTTTAATAAATATTGTCATAATGTAAGACAAAGCTATATAGGAAATTAATATTTATAATAGAATTAGAATAGAATAAATATTTAGAAGTGAAGAGTGTTTTGCTGACTGTTATGAATTTGTGTTTGTGAACTTTTGACCAACCTTTGCTCAGACTCTCATGAAAGGTGTGAGAGTGTGTGTGAGTGTGTGTGTGTGAGAGAGAGTGTGTGTGAGTGTGTGTGTGTGAGAGAGAGTGTGTGTGAGAGAGAGTGTGTGTGAGTGTGTGTGTGTGTGTGAGAGAGAGTGTGTGATTTAACACTGTTAGAGGTGTTGTGTGACTGTGGGAACTCGTGTGTCGTGAGTTTCTGAGCCGTTATGAGCTCTGTTTCATCATATCTCTGTGTCCAGAGGTTTGTCTAACCTACAGGTCTGGTCTGTAATGACTCATAAACCTCAGATCTGTGTGTCAATCAGAGGTTGTGTGTGCGTGTGCGTGTGCGTGAGTGTGTGTGCGTGAGTGTGAGTGTGTGTGTGAGTCTGTGTGTGTGTGAGGACTGTCAGATGAATCTGTATGAAGTGTGTGAGTGTGTGATCTGTCAGCAGAGGGAGCAAGAGCTCATCATAATATATTTAAATTTGCTGCTAAAAGTCTTCAACACATCTGGGATCAGGTTTTCTGCACATACAAAGGATATCCATGTTGTTTTGTAAGATTTAACTGAACTCAATAACCACTGGCCTTTAAAAATAAAGAGAGAACTAGTGATTTTGCATGACACAATGTGCAATATATTTCTAATATTTATATATTTATATATATATTTATTCATCAGATCACTGCCATTTTTTTGTAAATTGTTTGTAAACATACAATTATAAAAATTATTTATCATTTAAATTATGTTATATAACATTATATTTTAATTATACATTTATTTGATCATTTTGTGGCTAAGTTGAGGCTAATTTGTATTTCTAAATTATTATTATTATTACTACTAATAATAGTATTATACTTTCTATAATTCTAATTTGGGGCTAATATGAGTATTTTTTGTAAAATGTTTATATATACACACATACATATAGTAAAGACTTGTATTGTTATAAAAGACTTTCACAGTTTTGTTTGTCTTGCATAAATCCAGTCAGATTAATTTTCATGTAATAATATTTCCCTCCAGACTCACTGATGTTCCTTGTTGATCACTGCATTAGTAATTCTGTTTTAAAACGTCACATTTAAATAAAGAAACTGCACACAGCGCACGTGCTGCAGAATTATTTCTAATCAGCCTGTTACATTCCAGCAGGATGAGCACATGTTCACAACGACTAATCACTCCTCTAACGAAGACCTGAACACGTGGACCTTCAAGTTATGCAAATAGTTCATTTCTGATTGGGTTTCACATGTTTGCGTCGGATTCAGCGCCATATAAATGATAAACAAACCCATATTCACACATCTGCTAAAGAAAACTTGAAAATAGCATTGACTTTATAATATTTTTTTAACCATTGAGAAAGTCACTTTGTCATTTATATTATAGCTATACACTTCTGAAGACTGCTTTGCCCCTCCAGCAATATAAAGCATTTTTAAATGCATACAAACACAAGAACTCACCTTATTAATAGCGGCGGGTCACGTGTAACGCGGATGTGCGAGACTTCCTGTGTGACTGGCGTCTAGTTATTTTAGCTGCACAAAAATTGTGCGTTATGCTGCTTTATATTAATAACCGTTATTTGTTATCATTTTAATTCATGATCATAATTGCAAACACACTGGTTTATAGCGCAAATAATTTAACTTTGTTATTCTTAGTTATTTATCGATTGCGTTGAATGAACCGGAAGTCTTCATGTGTTGCAAAATAAGGTGGACAGTTAAACTCAAACATTAAAATGTATTGATATAATAAATAGCTCAACAATATGCATAAACAACTGTGACTTATCCATGTTTAATGTCTGTCTTTAAATTTTTTTTAACTTTAAAAGCTAGTAACTTTTTCTGGCGAGGTTCTCTCAACAAACATCTTCTAGTAACGTTAATAGAATGTTTGGTAAAAGTTATCTGGTCTTTAATAATGTTTAAACATTATTGAGACATGGAATGTTTTTTCATGCAATGTTTTAGACGTTTGTCTAACATTTT